TTACGTGGCCTCTGAGGCCAACACTGCTGATGTGTTCACCAAGGCACTTGCGCCTTGCGACCATCAGCGCTTTTGTACCCAGCTGGGTCTTGTACCTGTCTTGCCTCACTTGCTCTCTTCTTGACTTTACTTGTACTTTGACATATATATACCTGCTCTTGCTTGTCTAGTTTTATATATATGTCTTTACTCCTGCATGTGAACTGGCCTCTGGCCTTGCTCTTGTGCTCGGACTGTGTGGTGACTTTGTGATCCACCCTGAGCTTGTTTTGTTTTGCTTGACTGGTCTTGTGACCCCTTGTTCTCCCCCACTTTGCCTATGGGGGTGTGTCAGATTGTTATAGCTGATGCATGTTTGTAGGCTATAGTGGGGTAGCACATATGGGGTACAGTTTGATAGGGTTGTATTTGTACCCAACTCTGACTTAGTCAATTCATTCCTCTGCTCATAGTTTCACAACACACACATTGTTGGAAATTCAGCCCATCTTACGGCAAGCCCAACATGGGGACCCTTGGTCCCCTTCCCCCCCTGGGGGACGGCTCTCAGGCCACACGGGGACCCTCGGTCCCCTTCCCCCCCTGGGGGGCGGCTCTCAGGCCACACGGGGACCCTTGGTCCCCTTCCCCCCCCTAGGGGGCGGCTCTCAGGCCACACGGGGACCCTCGGTCCCCTTCCCCCCCTGGGGGACGGCTCTCAGGCCACACGGGGACCCTCGGTCCCCTTCCCCCCCCTGAGGGACGGCTCTCAGGCCACACGGGGGCCCTCGGTCCCCTTTTCCCCCCTGGGGGACGGCTCTCAGGCCACACGGGGACCCTCGGTCCCCTTCCCCCCCTGCGGGACGGCTCTCAGGCCACACGGGGACCCTCGGTCCCCTTCCCCCCCTGGGGGACGGCTCTCAGGCCACACGGGGACCCTCGGTCCCCTTCCCCCCCTGGGGGACGGCTCTCAGGCCACACGGGGACCCTCGGTCCCCTCCCCCCCCTGAGGGACGGCTCTCAGGCCACACGGGGACCCTCGGTCCCCTTCCCCCCCTGGGGGACGGCTCTCAGGCCACACGGGGACCCTCGGTCCCCTTCCCCCCCTAGGGGACGGCTCTCAGGCCACACGGGGACCCTCGGTCCCCTTCCCCCCCTGGGGGACGGCTCTCAGGCCACACGGGGACCCTCGGTCCCCTTCCCCCCCTTGGGGACGGCTCTCAGGCTACACGGGGACCCTCGGTCCCCTTCCCCCCCTGGGGGACGGCTCTCAGGCCACACGGGGACCCTCGATCCCCTTCCCCCCCTCGGGGATGGCTCTCAGGCTACACGAGGACCCTCGGTCCCCTTCCCCCCCTGGGGGACGGCTCTCAGGCCACACAGGGAGACCCTCTGTCCGCTCTTTTTATTGGGAGGCGTCCTTGGGTGCGCGTGCAGTTTGATCCTGTAGTCCATGTAATTTCCCCGCGCGACTAGTAGAGCCTTTTATAAAAGTCTTTCCACCACTGTAGTGTTGGCCCTGATTATCTGCCACCAAGGGATAAGAGGAGCTTATAGATTAATAGAAAATAAACGAAGAGGACAAAACGAAAATAAAATTGAAAGAAAATGACTTGCAGCACTTAGGCAACAAATGACGCCCATTCAAACGCCTGAGGTGCTGCAGTGGCAATTTCGTCACTGCCGCGCCGGCGGCCATTTCGTCCATGGCGCGCTAGTGGCGATTTCGCCACTGGCGCACGTGGCAATTTCGCAACATGCGCGCGTGTGGCGATTTCGTCCCTGGCGCGCGCCACTTGCGCTAGTGGCGATTTCGTCCCAATCGCCTGCCACTGGCGCAAGTGGCGATTTCGTCCCTAGCGCGAGCCACTGGCGCCAGTGGCAATTTCGTCACTAGTGCGTGCCATTGGCGATTTCGTCTTTGGCGCGCCTGTTGGCGTTTCGTCCGGCGCACTTCGCTCTCAGTTGAGCGCCCGCTAAGTACAGTCGCACGCGTGATAGTGTTGCCCTTCATGAAAATCGATCGCTTGTAGGTGAGTCGTAGTAAGTAGTTCTAGTGACAGAGGAAACTTTCGAGGTGGTTGGACGAGAATGAGTGGAACTGCTAAGTTCCGAAATGAAGTCGTGGGTGGAGGCCGAATGGCCTCCAACCCTCGTTATGTACTCGGCGAATTGTAATTCGCCGTTGCTTTGCTTCGTGACAGTCAGCTGCGCTTTCAAAATATGCATTTTTAGAAAGTGTTACACACTTTTGAAAAATCTCATTTAAAAATTTCGGCCGTAAAAAACGACCGTATTTTTGAACGAACCTAAAAATGCAAGGTCTGACCGTATTTTACCGTTCAATACGACCGTAAAATACGATACCGTATTTTACGGTAAATTTTCAAAAATTCGGTCGTATTTTTGAATCTTGTCCTTAACACACTGTAACGCATTTGTGACACAATATAAGGCATCCGTAACATACTGTAACGCATCCGTAACACAATGTAACGCATCCATGACACACTGTAACACGATACTAACATTGTAACACCTAATACATCAAAGGATCCGATAGTTGGTTTAGTCCACGACTTCATGCCAGGCCAGCCCTTCTTGCCGCCAACCACTATCGTTGCGGCATGCTGCATGGAACGAGGGGAAGTAGAAAGGGTGGCATTGAGATGTCGTAACCCTTCAGTCCAACCCTTCCTTGCTGCCACCCCTTCACTGCTGTGGTGGCATGCTGCCATGTGGATGCAATTGCATGATGCAGAGGAATGTAGTTGCATGTAATGCTGTGAAGAGACCATGAGGCAATGCGACAGGGGAAGAGCAATCAAAAGGGACGCGAAACGGGAATGGGGAGGGATACGCGGCGGCAGCACACTTACGGCCAGTGCAGGGCGGGTTGTGGTGGGACGGTCGAACGAAGAGCCTGCAGAGTGGAGAGATGAACGCAGAACGCAACGCAACAGCAGCTCAATGCACGGCACAGCACGACACGACATAGAAGAACGCAAGCAGGGCCGCAGGGTTATTTCGAGAATTCTCAAAAATACCGTGCTGCTCTACCACGCTGTGTTCTTCAACTGGTAGAGCAGGCACCGCATAGCAGCAAGAGCGCAACTTCCCCCCAAGGGATACAGGTACTAGAAAAACCCCCAAGCCCATGCCAGCAGGTTGGTAGAATAAGACCATTGAAGTCGTCTCAAGGGCAGCAAATGACGCGTCATTATTTCCTCAAGGTTCCGCATGACTTGATGCCGAGCAACCCTGCTAGTACTGGTACTAGTTAGAGTTAAGATCGAGCAGGACTGTTCAGATCGAAACAATTTCCAGATTGCTGTCAGCAAACGACGCGTTTTCGACGTTTTGGAGAGTCTAGAAAGATGCGCTGGGGATACTTCAGATCCCGGCTGCAATTCGGAGCCACACTTTTTGCAGATCTGTCATCGGATGGGGATAACCTTACCTGCCAGCAGCAGAAGCAACAGCAGCGCAAGAGAGAGACGAGCCATGGCTTCTGCGCGTTACAGACGACGTGATCGCACGATGACTCTTTGAATGATGGTCAGGCGTCTTGCCGAAGGCTCGGTCTGATGCCCCTCGGAGCGAAGCTTGCCCATCATCATACTCGGCTGGCAGGTCGGACATCTCCCTGCGTTTGCCTCAGGAAAAGCCGGCCGAGGCAGCCACAGCATGTGCTGTGAACATTGCAGCTTCAGGCCGCAAGTCATCAGAAAAATGTAGGGACAAATTATGGCAGTTTTTGGGAAATTATACGCGAGTAACTAGCTGAAATTGGCCGTTTCCCTAGTGCCCCGTAAATGGAGTGGCGTATGGGCTTAATTTCCCGTTTTCCGCGAACCGCGTGAACCAGAGGTTACGCCCGCTTTTTCTGCTACAGTGACGCGTAGTTATCGGCCAGGTTCTCGCCAACACCGCCAAGTTTGCCAGTATCCCGCAATCACGGAAGAAGGGGGCTTCGGGAGTGCTCGGTGTTTGACCATTTCCCGAGCCCCCCGGAGTTGACCCATGTTCCTCCGGAGACTGGGCTTGCGTGGCAGTTTACCGTCTGCTTCTCGGTCGTGGGGGATGGGCCTGAAATTTTCGTCCAGAGACTGGTTACTGTTACCCGACGAACTTCGTGCTGCGCGGTAACGAGGTAACCGATCGTGGTAACAGCTGAATACACCGACAGTGTTCTAGATTTCGAATTGCTCGGACCTTGAATTGTGAAACATGTTTTATTGTGTCATTATGTGTCTATAGCGGAGGTACTGTTTCTATTACCGATAAATATGATTATTATAATGCTACGATTCACATTTATAATTAATTAATGCTACATTTGTTATTGATGCTACTATTAGCTACTTCAGGAAATTGAAACAGAAATCAAACCATTAATAAAAAAGCAGTTACAAAATTAGCAGGTTAATAAGCCTCAGGCCACTCCCCTCCCTGAGGAATCCCACGAGGAAAGAAATAGGATTCCCAGCCCTCAATTAAAATCCTCACTTTAAACTCCTTGATAAATCCTTGAAACCCTCACACATCTCAAAACCCTGCGGCTCATCTGCCTTGAACAGCGCAGGGTTCCTCTCGAGACAATCCTTCAGCCAGGATGCACAGACAGCAGTCTTTGCTGTCACACAGTTGCAGTTGTTGAGCTCGACTGTGTCCAGGGAAGGCGAGTTCTTGCCCTTCCAGTGAGCCATGGGCCACTCCACCTGGAAGAAAGCACAAGGTATTGTTAAACACTGTTCATTACAGGATGCTTTTAAGCACAAAGTTGCAGCATATATATACGAAAAACACTTACCACATGGCAGAGATAGCCTAGGCCAGGGATCTTCAGGGGGAAAGTTGTGGCTTGGTTGCTGCAGAAACCCTTCGTGACAGCCAGCACAAATGCCAGGTTAGCAAACGGTATGCCTTCAGCAGAGCAATGCCATCGTGAGCCGTATTTTCCTGCAAGGAAGTTGAAAAACCAATCGTCAGTGACTGCAGCTACAAAAGTTTAGAGGAGCTTAACAAACACTCAAAGACTCACCGTCCTTGAAGTAAGCCGTCCAAACGACTGGGTCTCTAAACTCGATCGGCCTCAGGCCGACCCGCTCCAGCTCGTGCCACCTTTCATTCGCCACGCCACCTCCAGCGCCGCAGCCATAAAGCTTCATAGTCTTGTTCATAGTTTGCCGCTTGTTGGCAATCTTATCCATTGCCTCGTCCTCCTTCGACTTGTCACCTCCTGCCACGAAGTAATACAGGTCCTTGCAAACACCCAGCCGCACATACCTCCGCACCATCAAAGGAACCAGGTCTGGCCAATCGGGGTAGAACTGCATCGACTTTGCCGGCCCAGCAGTAATCATCCCGACGTACACGGCGAGCGCGTTTTTCTGTTTCAGGGAACGGGAGACAAAAAACAGATGAAACAAACGTCAGGCCAGGGTTAGGTGTGACGGTTAGTATCGGGGTAGAACTGTAAATCACTCTTAAAAGCAAAGCACTCACCGCGAACGCCTCGTCGTCGGACAAGCTGGTGGGAATGTGGATTTTCCCGTCCACCTTCGGCAGCCTGTCCATGTTGATTCGGGGGTCGTCCACGTCATCAGGTCCATCTATTGTGTGCGTTCCGGATCGAAACGCCTGAATCTCATCCCGAAGCGCCGAAACCTCTTGACGCAGCTCATCCCTCTCCTTTTCGATCTGCTGCTGGGTCGTTTGATTGTACTGCATCACCGCCAAGGTGTTGCGCAGGTCCTCCAGCTCGGCTTCAAGTCGTCGGTTGATGGCGGCATGATGCGCATCGGGAACTGTGTCAGAACATATCTATAGCTTATACTGCTGTGTAGGCTGTAGTGGGGTATCCCATAGGGGGTACAACCCAGTTAGGGTTTCATATTTGTACTGCTTTCATTCATAGTTCATCATTCCTGTTTTCCTATTATCACATGGTATAGAGCGGGTCCTACCTTAGGACCGTTGTCTGGGCCCACCGACGCGCGCCCCGAGGCGCGCCTTTTTTTTTAGCGACCCCTCGGGTCGCCTTTTCACTCGCGGCCCCGCCGCCTCCTCTGACGCGGCTTTGCCGCCTCCCTTGACGCGGCCCAGCCGCCTCTTTTAACGCGGCCCCGCCGCCTCCCTTGACGCGGCCCCGCCGCCTCCCTTGACGCGGCCTCGCCGCCTCCCCTGACGCGGCCCCGCCGCCTCCCCTGACGCGGCCCTGCCGCCTCCCTTGACGCGGCCCCGCCGCCTCCCTTGACGCGGCCCCGCCGCCTCCCCTGACGCGGCCCCGCCGCCTCCCCTGACGAGGCCCCGCCGCCTCCCCTGACGCGACTCCGCCGCCTCCCCTGACGCGGCCCCGCCGCCTCCATTGACGCGGCCCCGCCGCCTCCCCTGACGCGGCCACGCCGCCTCCTCTGACGCGGCCCCGCCTCTGCTGCCGACGGCCCCGCCGCTGCACTCTACGGCCCGCCGCTGCACCCTGCCGGCCCGTCGCTGCTCCTGCCGGCCCGCCGCTGCACCCTGCCGGCCCGTCGCTGCTCCTGCCGGCCCGCCGCTGCACCCTGCCGGCCCGTCGCTGCTCCTGCCGGCCCGCCGCTGCACCCTGCCGGCCCGCCGCTGCTCCTCCCGGCCCGCCGCTGCACCTACCGGCCCGCCGCTGCACCCATCGGCCCGCCGCCTCTTACGGCCCGCCACTTGCACCTGCCGGCCCGACACTGCACCTGCCGGCCCGACGCTGCATCTCCCGGCCGAGCCGCCCCAGCAGCCGAGCCGCCCGGGACCCGAGCCGCCCTGCCGCCGAGCCGCCCTGGAGCCGAGCCGTCCTGCACCCGAGCTGCCCAGCCGCCGAGCCGCCCGGGAGCCGAGCAGCTGTGCACCCGAGCCGCCCGGTCGATGAGCCGCCTTTCTGCTGACTGCACGACCTGCCCTGCCTGGTGAGCACTGTCCCACTGACACTGCGAGCTCTTTCCCTACTGCTTGCACTGCGTCGCTGTCGTCACCATGGCTACCCCTAGTGTCCTAGCTTTTGACGCTGAGGGTCGCGCCATTGATTTTGAGGTCTGGTTAGACGACCTGCAGCTGTTCTTACAGTGCGACAGGGCTGACGACCTTTCTCTCTTTGACCTCACCTCTGGCGCCTCTCCTGCCCCTGCTGCTGATGCTGATCCCGCTGTCCGCTCTAAGTGGGCCACCCGCGATGCTGCTGCACGTCTTGCTGTGCGTCGCCACCTCCCTACCTCTGAGCGTGCGCACTTTAGTCAGTACAAGAGTGCTCAGACCTTGTACGACGCTGTAGTTGCGCGCTACTCCTCCCCTGCCACTGCTGCACTGAGCCGTCTCATGCTTCCCTACCTCTTTCCTGACCTCTCTGCCTTTCCCACTGTCGCTGACCTCATTACGCACCTCCGCACTAGTGACACTCGCTACCGCGCCGCCCTTCCTGCTGAGTTCTGCGCTAAGAACCCCCCCCCCATGTACATCGCTCTCTACTACGTAGTCGCACGCCTCCCTGACTCCCTTCGCGTCGTCAGGGACCACTTTCTCGCAGTCTGTCCCACCACTCTCACCGTCGACCTCCTCGAGAAGGCCCTCCTTGCAGCGGAGAAGAGCATAGTCGCTGTAGGTGCTTCTCGTGGTGACCCTCGCACCCCCATCTTTGAGGGGTGCTCTCCTTCCCCCTTGCTGCCCTCTGTTGCCTCTGCTGCTGCTGCCGACCTGATTGGTCTTGAGTCGGTCGGCGCGGCGTCTGCCCCTAGTGGGAGACGTCGCTCCAGCAAGGGCAAGGGGGGCAAGGGCGCGGGTGGAGCTGGAGGGGGCGGTGGCGGTGGCGGCGGTGGCGGCGGAGGGAGTGGGGGTGGCGGCGGGGCTAGTGGCGGGGGTGGTGGTGGTGGTGGCGGCAGCAGCGGCGGAGACGGTGGTGGTGGTGCCAGCGGTGGTGGTGGAGGCAGCGGCGGAGGTGGAGGCGGCGGAGGTGGAGGCAGTGGAGGCGGCAGCGGAGGAGGCAGTAGTGGTGGAGGAGGTGGAGCTGGTCGGGGTGGTACCCAGCAGCGTAGCGGCGGTGGTGGTGGCCAGCGCTCGCACCGGCAGCAGCAGCAGCGCTCGCGGGACATCCCTTCGCCTCAGCAGCTTCGTGAGTGGTACGCTGGGCGTCAGAGGGGTGGGGGTACTGGTCCCTGCACCTACGTTCTTCGTTCCGGCGACCGCGCGGGTGAGCAGTGTGGGGGTGCCCACGCCACCCAGCGCTGCTTTGGCCGCCTGACGGACGCTTGGCGTCAGCAGTTCCCTGGGGCTAGTGAGATCCCTCGCTGGGATGAGCTTCTCAGGGCTGGTGTAGCGATCTTTGATCTTGATTTTGATGCTATCCTTACTGCTATGTATGTTGTGGATTATAGTGAGGAGAATGAGGGTTACCGGTGTTTTCAGCCCGACCCGGGCATTGGTACTGCTGCTCTAGGTGCCAGTGCGTCTGCGCTCTCAGGTACTGGTGAGACTGCGCTCTCAGGTACTGAGTCGTCCTCGTCCTCCCTCACTTTCACACTTGACTCCGGAGCTTCTCGCTCCTTCTTTCGAGACCGCACTACCCTTTCGCCGCTCGCCAGGCCGGTTGCGGTCTCCCTTGCTGACCCCTCTGGGGGTCCTGTCCTGTCTCACTTCTCCACTGTCCTCCCGTGTCCGGCTGCCCCTCGGGCACCCTGTCGGGTCTGTACCTTCCCTCGTTCTCTACGAACTTGGTGAGTGGAGCGGACCTGCAGGATGGGGGTGTTCACCAGTTCACTCCTGCGCGTCAGAGGGTGACCCACTGCACGGAGGCTCGCACAGGCCGACACCTGGCCACGTTCTCACGTCGGCCGGGGTCGAGTCTCTACACCCTGACCGTTGAGTCTCCTCCTGTCCCTGCGTCTGGTCAGGTGGCTGCGTCGGGTCAGGTACTTGCTGCTGCGTCCCGGTCAGGTCCTGAGTCTGCCCCCTGTTCTTGTCGCCTCCTGTCTCACGAGACTCTCCTGTGGCACCACCGTCTTGGCCACCCCTCCTTGCCCCGTCTTCGGAGCATGGCTTCCCGTGTCCTTGTCTCTGGTCTTCCCCAGTCTCTCCCTCCTCTCCCCTCCGGGCCAGGACCTTCCTGTGTCCCCTGTGTCGAGGGTCGCCTCCGGGCTACTCCTCACTCCTCCCACTTCCCCCCGACAGAGGCTCCCCTGCAGACGCTTCACATGGATGTGTGGGGCCCAGCCCCCGTCCGTGGGCAGGGTTACGAGCGCTACTTCCTGTTGGTGGTTGACGACTACTCGCGTTACACCACGGTCCTCCCCTTGCGCAGCAAGGGTGCGGTCACTGAGGTGCTGATCGACTGGATCCGCGAGGCTCGTCTCCAGCTCAGGAAGAGCTTCGGCTCGGACTTTCCTGTTCTGCGTCTGCACTCTGACAGAGGCGGAGAGTTCTCTTCTCGCCTTCTGCGAGACTACTGTCGTGCACGGGGGATCCGCCAGACTTTCACGCTTCCGGACTCACCACAGCAAAATGGGATTGCTGAGCGCCGCATTGGCATGGTCATGGATGTCGCTCGTACGTCCATGATGCATGCGGCTGCCCCCCATTTTCTGTGGCCGTTTGCGGTGAGGTACGCGGCGCATCAGCTCAACCTTCACCCCCGGGTCTCTCGGCCAGCGATGTCCCCAGCCTTGCTGTGGACGGGGAAGGTTGGCGATGCGTCTGTGTTCCGTGTCTGGGGATCTCGGGCGTTTGTCCGCGACTTGTCTGCGGACAAGCTGTCCCCTCGTGCTGCTCCCTGTGTCTTCCTTGGCTTCCCCACTGACGCCCCAGGGTGGCAGTTTTACCACCCCTCCTCTCGTCGTGTTCTGTCCTCCCAGGACGTCACGTTCGACGAGTCAGTCCCCTTCTACCGTCTCTTCCCCTACCGCACTCCCTCCCTCCCCCCTCCCCCGGACTTCCTTGTGCCGGTTCCCCCCCCGGTAGACCCCCTCCCCCCTCAGGTTCCTGCCCCCTCAGGTGTGTCCCAGGTAGACGCCGTTGACCCGGTCGAGGTTACTGGTGACTCTGGTGCTGCTGCGGGTGCTGAGCCTGGGGGTGCTGACTCTGGGGGTGCTGTGCGCGGGGGTGCTGAGCCTGTGGGTGCTACTGCTGGGGGTGCTGGGCCTGAGGGTGCTACTGCGGAGGGTGCGGAGCCTGGGGGTGCTGAGCCGGGGGGTGCTGTGCCTGGAGGTACTGGGTCTGGGGGTGCTGGGTCGGGAGCTGCTGAGCCTGGGGGTGCTGAGCTGGGAGCTGCTGAGCCTGGGGGTGCTGCGTCTGGAGCTGCTGAGCCTGGGGTTTCTCCTACTGCTGCGTCTCGCCGGGAGCCCCTCTCTCCACAGGAGCTGCGCGAGTGGTTCGCTCGCCGCTGGAGGCGTGCTGCTGAGTCTGGAGGTGCTGCTGGAGCTGGAGCTGGAGCTTCTTCGACCGTCGAGGGTGCGGGTGCAGCCGGTCCCGGAGCTGCTGGCCCTGCAGGTCCTCCTGGAGCTGGAGCTGCTGAGGGCGTTCGTGCTGAGCCTGCTACTGTTGGTCCTGCCGCTGGAGGTGTGGGTGGCGCTGGTGCTGTCGCTGAGGGTGCTGGTGCTGTCCCTGCTGAGTCTGGAGCTGCCGCGCGGCCTCGGCCGTACTTCGTTCCGCTCCTTCAGCAGGTTCTTGGTCTTTCTCCTCCAGTAGAGGGTCCACCGCCGGTCCAGTCGCAGCCCCTACTG